ACGGTGCACGTGTTCCACATCCGATGGCGCGCATTTGGTCTGCATTGCTATAGCTTCGCGTATACCAGATGGGGAGAGACGTCTCCACTCGTGTGTGTCCTGTAGGCGGATGAAAAGCCGATCGTCCGCCTCTACTTTCGGCCTCGTTTTTTGTACGTTCTGCGGGACTGCTGCCATCTTTGTGTTGATTCTCCCTGCATCGTTTTGCAGCCCTAATCTAGCAATTCCTGCCCATGTGTTTCCCTGGGCGCGCACCATGGGCTTGTTCTCTACTGTGGGCTTTGGAGATGGGACCCTTGGGGATACAGCGTTGGGGCGTTGGGGGAGCGATGGTGGTGTAGACTCCGGGCCCGAGTTGATAAAATGGCCAATTGCTGCACGCAAATAAGTCTTCATTGATTAGACGTATACTTTATTGTCGCCCGTGGCCATCGGGGAGAGTACGGCCTCCACGCCTCTTATGGCCGATGTGCATAACAGAATCTGAGCAGACTTTTGTGCAACCCTTTGCTTTTCGGCTTCTACTACAGCTCTCAGCTCTTCGGGGCAGAATTCATCGCTAGCTGCAGTGTCAGTTTCGTTGGATGATTTCAGTTTGGGTTCAGGGGCTTCTCTAATTGTTGAAGCTGCCGTAGGACCTGAGGCAATCGAAGAGCAACTCAGGTTGTTCTTGCCGGTGTCGCCAGTTTTCTCTGCCATTGTCAATGGCACGGCGACTTTTATCAGAGGCAGTTTCTTCTGCAGTGTAGTCGCAGTTGCTGGCTTTTTTTGAGAACTCGTTGCCTTTTCAGCTCCGGTCGCATCTGGCTTGGAGTGAATAGAATCGGGAAGTCTTTTCAGATCCCTGAGGATCTTATCAATGTCAACATCGCTAACATCTAACATCGTGTCATCTAGAGCTCTGTCGTCGACCAATTGGTCAATTTCCATTTCTTGACCTGGGGTCAGGGTACCCAGCTTGTCACGTAGTTTTCTTCGAACGGTGTGTTTGATGTAATTGCGGTTTTCAGCGATGTTTTTCGCCCGCGATAGTTTACTGCGAACTGGGGGCATTTTGACAACCTACCAGTCGCTCACAAATTTTGAATAAATGGCGAACGATATCACGATATCGAGAGAGGGAGGGAGAGGGGGAAAAAGGGAAGATTCGAAAATTCGAATTTCAAAAAATTGTGTTTTTTTTGTTTGTTTATTGTATTACTTGAGTCTATGACTATCTAGCACATTGGGCTCCTCTCTGACCCAGGCCACACCTTGTACAGTGCTCCTATCCTCTTTTATTCTTTGAAAGATCATTGATATATTCCCCTTGATGAATAGCCATTCAGCTCAGTGTTTACCCGTGCAATTCGGCCATCTTTTCCAAGGAACCACTTGATAAAAGTTATATAGGTGTTGTACATCTGAACTAAGCGTGCGTTAGGCATCAACATGTTCTGAGTAAATAGTGAATGGAAAAACCGAGCACGTGATATAATCTCAATGTATGTAGCGCTGAGTAGTTTTTTCATCAGGTAAAAAAAAAACAAGGTATCAATTTGTAATTACATGAAATCCAGTTCCGCCTTTATTCTGACCCAATTGATCATATCGACTAAATGCGTAACAATTTGTCATAACTAAAGTGAACCTTCTACCCAAAAAAAATGGTAGCAAAGGAAACTGCGTGCGCGGGAAAATGTCTCAAAAATTCTACAGGCCCAGCCAGGCGAGGCCTAGACATCGGGACTACATGAGGTGCGCGTATTCATCTATACCTCCCTTCTTTATAACAGTTGAGGTCGACTTGATCCAATCCGCCATCTCCGTATCGGGTGCTGGGTACACTCCGGAAACTCTTCGGATGGCTTCTCCTCCATGATCAAGGGTTGGTGATAAGAAGGGCTCCGACTCTACCATCTGATCAGATCGTAGTTAGCTTCATGATAATGGTGATAGTGGGGGGGGGGTGTGCTTAGAGATGAAGACGATACAGACGGCGAAAGCGATTGGGAATCCTCATTGAGGTGAGGATGGTGTTACTCAATCTTGGCTTTGCAGAATCTACAGCCAGAGCTGGAGGTTCGCAGAGGACACCACTCATAGGCGTTGAGAATAGTCCCCCAAGAGGAGCTCATGTGCTGTGCGCGGTCACGACGTTAATTATTATAAATAAATAGTAACCTGACAAGGGCCCAAAGCAGTTTGGCAATGCAAATACGAAGTAAGCACATGGGGCTCAACTCGTATTTACATAGAAGAAAAGTACCCGGAGTGTTAAGTCCAGGTTGTCCATGTGGCTACCAATCACAGAACCCCAAGCATATGATTATGTCCTGCCCCCATGGTCAAATGATAGAGTTGAGGTTTGGAGACAAGCCAAAGATCGATCCTACGAAGCGATGATAAACAATCCTGGAGATATAAAAAGGATAGCACAGTGGATCCTAAACCATGGTTGGATAGAGCAATTCCAGATGACAAAAGCGGTCGAAATACTGCTGAGGGAAAGGAAAAGGTCGAATAATACTTGGGGAGGATAGAGATGATCTGGTTAGTTTACATGGATGGCACTATAGTGTAACTGCGCTTCCTGAAGAAAATATGTGAGAACTATAGATAACAAGTAGAAATGTGTGGGAGGTTTTCACCATAAAGGTTTTCTCCCGGGTAAATGTTATAGATTATAGATACCTGCATGGGCCCATAAGGCGCCAAATCAGGGTAATGAAATCAAATTCAAAATAGATAAATAAACACCTAGCCACTTAAAACCGAGGGCTGTGACATGTTGAGTGTCTCATTTTTCTTAAACATCAAATGTACGGAAAATTTGGCGTTACTGCTTAGAATTTGGCTCATAGCGTAAGAGTCCTTAAGGTGTTCTTTTTCCTGTGATCTAGCTTTTCCGACTATAGGTTATTCGTCTTATTGATTCTGATGCTAACCATAAATTTTGCCATAAGCTATGAAACGATAGACGCGTATATCCTTGGGACCAGCGACCTAGAAATTGTTGATAAAAATACCTTTATAGGCGGGTTCTGCGAGACTCTTTTTGACGACCTCCTCCAACACATTTTTCTTTCTTTGGCTTTAAGCATATTATGGAACATCGCCTTCTAGGTCCCCTTGTAAATGTTCGAAGTATTCACGGATTTATTGACCTCCATGGTAGGGAAATACTTCCCAACTTTGCCCATTACAATGAGTCCAACTTATCACAGGATTAGCCCCTTGCGTTTTTACTGTCTACACCCGTATGACAGGGATGGAGTCTAGTGCTTAGCTAGCTACAGAGACTACCAATAGTGCAGCATGAATACTTTACTTAGTTACACAGCTTATTCTCATTGGTGTCGGTAATTGTGAATCTCTGTGCGTATAGTAAGATATCGAAACCCTTCTCGATATATTTCATTAATTAACTGATTTTATTCTGAACTAGCTCTATTGTATACGAACATCAATTGATCCGGAGACATTACCATTTTTTAATAAGATCTCCATGGTTTGAATATTTTTATCCCTTAGACCTGTCTGCACTCGATTGCCTTCAGAGTTGTTTGCTGTTATCGCTGATCGAAACGTGTGGGAATCGCTAGATTTACCCACGCCAGCCATGATGTTGCACGGAAGGTTTGATGACGTAAAATGGGTAAATGACAGATGTAAATGAGTTTGAAGATGTCAGGTTGGTGTTAAAAGTTGCGCAGCTTCTTTTAATTTGATATTATTTTGTTTTTAAAAAATAGTTATTTGGACAGATTTAGATGGATTATCTCATATTCTAGAAGACACCTGGTTTCATGATAATTGACGTATATATATTGCAAGAAAATTCATCAGTTAGACTTCAAGAGAGATCAAAATTATAACGATTGATTCAGGACTTTCCCCGTTGAAACTTATGAGTTGGTATGATATTTTCAATTGTGACTCTATTTAGGGTGGCAGAAATAGATACAACTTTGTCCCAACTTGTTTCTAGTAGGGACGCAAACGTTTAGTCCAGTAACGTTTGGATGTACCTTTACTTGCAATAGCAGGAGTGATGGCGAAGCTTTTTGAGTTTATTGAGTGGAATAAATTATCACGACCTTTCTGATATATCTTAGAGTCATGAAGTCCTCGCAATATAATAGTATTGATTACCCTACAGTAGATTTGTGGTTGGGATAAAGCCGTAATATAGGAGAATAGAGTCCATTGCTGGATCAATTTTCATCCTTCTTTTAGCCTACTAAGGCCAAGTTATATAGCCGTAGAGCTTGTCCTGACCACACATCCGTGACATTTCCATTGAAACTGTGTCTAGAGATAGGTATAATAAAACTCAGGTCATTCAGCTAGTTGGCGGCCGAGCCTCTGAAACTAATCATACTTGATTTTTGCATCTTTTGAATTATTTCTATCGTAGAGTCACGGAGAATCGTTACTGATTTAGATCTCGCGGGTCTACAAGCTGCAAGATCGCAGGTAGCATTATTTTCAATCTCGCTCTCCGTGTTATCAGTACAAATAACCTAGCTTCATAATGGTTCTGTTATTTTTGTAATATGACTCATCATGAATCTGATATCCTAAAATAGTAAACTGTCCATCAAGCATTTCTGTTTCGACAGGAGACCCTAGCTATTTACTGACACACATAATTAGCTGTATTAAACCGCAAAGAATATTTCAATAAACCTTAATATGCGCATTCATTATCTTATCTTTCAGAAAAAAAAGAATGATAGTCCATCTATGATAGACACTCGGATTTGTTACAAATCAAAGCTTTGTTAGGCGTAAATCCAATTTCTAAAGCCTTAAGTCTGTAATTATTCCAGGTATAAATAAACCTGAGAAATAAAATTCAACTCCATCGATCTCTTTAATTTCAAGCCAAATAGTGGTCGTAGTGATTAAAATTGGCTTCTTCTCAAATGCAAGAGTTACTATCAAAAATTTTGATAAGTTTTTCATGAAATAAGGCACAGGAAATACGTAAAAAATCTCTTTTGTAAGTCGTAAACCTATATGCTTGCCCTACGAGGAGCAAGTGTGCGTCGTAAAGCCTTCTTCTCCTCGGTTTCATCTACCAAAGGCAACAGTCCTTCTTTTTTCATTGTAGCCAGGTAATTCTTGCCGTAATCGTAGCCTACTCGGTATATTTCATCAAATTTTCCAAAGTCTAGTGTTCCATAGGGGTCAATAGGAGGCCTCATGTAGTGGCATCCAGGCATATTTTTTGCCCTTTCAAGAGCGTCAACACTTGAAACATAGGCTAGACGAGCTTGTATTTCAGCAAGTGTTGGAGGATTGGGAAACGATGAAAATGGATTCCATCGATTTGCAAACGCCCAAAATCCAGATAGCGTATCGCCAAAGTTTTGCGGCGTATTATCATCCAAACTACCAACATCAATAGCAAAGATTACATCAGCCCCAAGTGATTTCATATGAGAAACAGTCAGGTTATCGACGTAGCCCCCATCAAGAAGCATGCTACCTTCGTCACAGAGAGGCGGTAGTAGCCCAGCTAGTGACATGGATGCCCTGACATATCTCCAAGCATAGCCACTAGTATGAATTTCTGACCGGCTTTTGCTAATATTAGTCGTATTGCAATAAAACTCAAGCCAAAAATCTTCAATTTGTGTATCACCGAATGTCTTAAATATACCACGGTTAAACTCGTGGCCAGTTGTATATGATGCTGAAGGATAAGTGAGATCCAGAGCAAAACGCCACATACTGGTCATGCGCCCTGCAAACTTTTTGACTCGACCATACATTGGAACGACGTCTGCATCACGGGCATATAATGCTCCGATAAATGACCCGATTGAAGTACCCCCAACAATATCAATAGGAATACCAGCTTCTTCTAGAGCTCGTATAATTCCAACCTGAGATATTCCACGAGCTCCACCACCGCCAAGAACAAGGCCAACAGATTTACCGCACAATCTTCTGGCAATTCTATGAAAATCTCCTTTGAATGGTGTCTCTGCAGAGTAAAAAGGAGTTTGCCTGACCTTACGGGACGTATATTTTTGTATTTCGGCTTGTAGTACCTGCACACCTTGTTTCAAGACCGAGCCGAAATTTTTGACTTCAGGATGAGCGGATACAGAGCTGGTGCGAAAAACCATTTGAACATGATGGTGACCTCCATTTATCCAAGCGCGATTGCGCAACCAAGCTCTTGTAACACCTGGAGAGAAAAATCTATCCGCGTGTAGCAAGACAAGTTCTTTTCTAGCAGTAGTTTTCATACCTAATAAGAGACGTTCGTACTCACCAATCGCAGGAAAACTTTCTGCCAGCCCTACAAGGAGTATACAATCTGCCTGACTAATACACGTCTGTGTCCATGGAGAGTTCACGTTTGTGTCTGGATTGTGAAATTAGTAAAGTGTTTTATGTTGCATCTCAACAGCCTTGAAAGTCACTTGACCTTTAAAAATAAGCTTTAAGACTTTAGTTCTCATCCCAGTTGTTAGTACTACTAAAATGGATTATATTTTTAAGGGTAGTTATTGAATTCACACACCTGCGACGTAAAGCACGAGCCCAAACTTATCCTCTAGATCAGCTAGATATTGTGAGAGCTTTAGTTTTCCCATTCTGCTGAAGGCATGTCTTCCAAGGTGGTTTAGAATTGCAGCTTGGTTAAGTGATGTCACCCCATTTGCCGCTCCAATTTGAGTCAGGGCATTTGCTAGGCGGCTCGCGAATTCCACAACGGGTACACCTGCAGTGACTGGTAAGATGGCAACAGTCCGAAGATTTAACGTTGAAGGAACCTTGGTTGTTGCGATGCTTTTTATTTCTTTCCGACTTTGAATAAAGACAGGATCTTCAACCAGGTGCCGCATTCGGGAGGCTATAATTTTTGATATTTTAATGGTAATTCCTGGATGTTCTCGCGCTAAGCTATCAAATAGTGTCTTTGGGAACTTGGCAAGCTCTGTGTCACGGATCGCATGTAAAGTAGCTGGTCGAGCAGTTCCTGTCATTACCTCGAGCTCGCCTACACTATCTCCTTGCCCGTACTCTCCTAAAATTTCCATTCCATCCCGATTCTTCATCATTAATCGAAGACGGCCGTTGAGTACAATGTAGATTGCATCACTGTCGTCATCTTGGTGGTATAAGACTTGACCAGCGCTTACCTGTACCCATTCTAGAGCAAAATCAATATGGAGTATAAGTCGTGGCAGGAGACTAGTTAGGCGTTTTGCCAAGGTGAGAAGAACTACTGGATACTTTTCAACAATCACTTCCAACGATGAATGGGGTAGAAAGCCCACGTAAACGTCAGTTTTAGCGATAACATCAATCAAAGATCGATAGGATGAGATGGTACCAATATACCCGGCAATCCCACCAGGCCTTATTAAAGCAATCTTTTTGTGTACGGAAGATTTCCTTTTTTTTGTCTCACCAGCGTTTGAAGGTGCACGCCACATACTAAATCTTGGACGAGGTAGTTGGACTAGTGTCTCATTCACAGAGTTTTTAGTATCTTTTGCAAAATTTGCTGTGCCTGATTCCGAGAGATCAGAGTTTTCGTCACTGGGAACAGAGACATCTAGAAATCCATCTATGACATAATAAATACCTGAGTTTCTTTCCCCTTGTTCGATGAGTACCGATCCCTTGGGAAAAAATACAATTTCTATTTCGTCTCTCAGTTCACTTGCCAGTCCTTGCGTGCCATGAGCTTCTCCAGGGTTCACACTGGATGAAGGTTCCGAGTATCCATCAATAGATTCTTCATAAGGATCTATGATTCCAAATGCATTGTTACTAAAGCCATCTTTTTGTCGCTTTTGGTCACACGTCCCTAATTTGGGAGAATCTTCTAGGGAGTCAGTCATCCTTAAAGCTTTGTGAGTGTTGGTTAGACCAATTGCTTTGAAAATACATCCTAATATGGAGCCTCTAAGTATTCTATCTTCGTCTATTGAGTCTTGTCTATTCAGATCTATCCTAGGATGTCTGGTCTTACAAAATGGATGAAACGACTTCACTGATAGAGGGCTTTGGATATCATGCTGCCAAACTTCTGGTCGGCTATGGACCCCATGTAGCGCTTCTTGATTAAGATTAGAAGTGCGGTCTCTACCTGCATTCCGAGCCATTTGAATGTTCGTAAGTAAATCCCCGGGACTGGGATTAACAACGCCTTCCCGGCCAGAAAAAAGGCTTGGAGTGGAAGTATGTGAATTTGGACTTCTATTTCTTGATGGAACTTGTGGATTTGGATCCTTTTGTTGATATGTATTAGAACATCTTCGTCTTGAATTGTGTAATGCAATACCCTTGCTGCCTTCTTCAGAACCAATTCTTTCACTTTCTCGCAAGAACTTCTCTCTTAGCCTATCCAACGCGACACCGCGCAGGAAATTTGGTAATTCAGAATTGGTATATTTACTCATATGCTTTTCTGTACGCAGCACCTCACTTTTTAATCCTAGATACGAATGACCGGTAGCAAGTGTTACTCTTTGTAACCTTGTCAGAATAACTTGAACAATATGTGCAGTGGCTTTGGGGTACACTCTAGTCAGCCTACAAAATGCTGCTGCCGGTATTATGGCAATGGTAGTGTCGACCGTCGCCTGAGCTAATATATCAGGGTGGGCAGAGTTGGTTTGAGCTCTTCTAGGTTTCGGATTTGACTTTGTTTCTTCACTAGTCAAATCTAAAGATAGAGAGGTCATTCGAGGGATATTATCATCAGGAATCGAGCTTGCAACTGTATAGGATCTGCGCTTACGCGTCCCAGACTCTTCCATCTGTTCAGGACCAGGAATATTTGAACTAGTTGATACCAATGAAGGGACATCATAGTTGGGATGCGCAAACGTAGGTGATCGGAAACTTTTGGGTAAATAATTTTTTGGGCTGGTTTCGGTGTTATTCTCGTCATCATACTTTAACTCAACATCTTCCGTGAAGAGTGATAAGATTGAGAATAAGGATGACATGGGGGCACCGTTTTTAACTTCTGTTAACAATTGGTATCCTTGTGCGTTTCCTTGATGGGTTTCCCCATTGTCAGAGTCATCGGAGCCTGAGCTAACATCACATTCCTCTCTAGATGACTTGACAAATATTTTGACTAGCCCATCCACAACAAGACAGAATCCTTTCTCTTCTTCCAAGTTTAAGGTTTCTCCAGCAAAAAGCTTCCTTGTTTGCATGGACCTCGTGAGTTCATGAAAAACGGGGCGCTCAAGGTAGCCAAATATTTTGATGGCGCTAAGAAATTCATCCAAGTAGTTAGAGTAGCCTGTTTTGGAGCCGTCCTCTTGGATGTCAGGATACAATCCTATGACGGGCTCTGACCTTTGTGGTTCGTGAGGGAGTCGCGAGTACATGTTCATAAATCTATAGCGAACAAACCAACTGGCAATAGAGATGATAGCAAGAAATATAAGCATTCTACGGCTCGTTAGATCTTACAGATTATACTTCTTTGAAATCATACAGAGTGGTTGCGTTCATAGTGAATGTTAGACTTGTGGAAAAGAGGGTAAACATAAAAGTCGGCATAGTTATGGTTGTGAAGGTAATGGCCCATAGTAGAATTGAAGGAATAACTTTCATGATGCTGAGGAAGGCCTGTTCAGTTGGTTGGAACCAAGAACTTTGCTCTTGAAACTGCTCCATGGGAGCTTTATCAATTCAGAAAGGATCAGATTGAGTTGGTATCTACTGCTCGGAAGTACCCTGAATGTAAGATACATGACAATGGTTGAAGCTGCGCTAGCTAGATCGGAATATTAGCACTCGCCGACTACTTGAGAGGCCTGTGCTTTTGAACGGCGACAAAGGCTCATAGGGCGAATATCGCCGTTACAAAGGATCCATGCTAGTTTAAATCCACTAGTGTAGAATGCACACAGATTGTGACTAGCACGGTACAGCACAATCAACCTTCGTTAGGATATACACTGCAAACCGTTGGCGCTCCACCTCTAAACCCGGGAATTCAATCAAAATATTTTTTTCCAAAGGCAACTCACATCAAGTCTAGCCATAATCGTCTCCAAAATCCTCAGATTAGGTTTTCCAGCCTAGAGCAATTGCCATCATGTCTTTAACCAATTGTCGCTTCTATGAGGAAAAGTACCCGGAAATTGATAGCTTTGTCATGGTCAACGTCAAGCAGGTTGGGCTCCATTGCAGTCTAAAAAAGTAATCTGTGCTAATTTAGTGCATAGATAGCAGAGATGGGGGCATACGTCAAGTTGCTTGAGTATGACAACATCGACGGCATGATTTTGCTTTCTGAGCTTTCTAGACGTCGAATCCGAAGTATTCAAAAGCTCATTCGAGTTGGACGGAACGAGGTTGTCGTCGTACTGCGGGTAGACAAAGAAAAAGGTAAGAATATTTACCGCAACAAGTGCCTCAATCTTTAGTACCGGTCGTTTACACATTGCAACATAGGCTATATTGATCTTTCCAAAAGAAGAGTTTCTCCTGAAGACATCATAAAATGTGAAGAAAGATACAACAAGGGCAAAATGGTTCATTCCATTATGCGCCACGTCGCAGAGAAGACACTTCACCCGATTGAAGACCTATACGAACGTATCGGTTGGCCGCTAAATAAAAAATACGGTCATGCTGTTGATGCTTTTAAGCTCTCCATCACGTATGTTCCCATATCTGTGACTTAATAAAATTTACTAATTGCTAATCTGCCAAGTAACCCTGATGTTTGGCAGGAAGTTTCATTCCCAAATGATGTGGTTGCAGAGGAATTGAAATCTTACATTGGCAAGCGTTTAACACCACAGCCCACAAAAGTTCGAGCAGATGTTGAGGTCACGTGCTTTGGATATGAGGGGATTGACGCTGTTAAAACTGCTCTGCGTACTGCAGAAGCTAGAAACACACCTGAAAACCAAGTGAAGGTAAAGCTTGTTTCTCCGCCACTATACGTACTTACAAGCACATGTTTGGAAAAAGTCGTGGGTATCCAAACCCTGGAAGCAGCTATTATCGATATTCGAACTAATATTGAAAGTTCGGGTGGAAGTTGCATCGTCAAGATGGAGCCGAAAGCAGTCACAGAGAACGACGATGTTGAGCTGCAGGCATTGATGGAAAAACGTGAGAGGGAAAATGCAGAGGTCAGTGGAGATGAGAGCCAGAGCGAAAGCGACGAAAATGCCGTCGAGTCACAAGTTGTATAAGGAATATAATTTTAAGGAGTGGGAGATCTGCATTGCGGGCGTACGGAAGGCTTGTTCGTCAATAAGTACACATGATTATATGCCGAAGGAAAATGCAATGATGATGAACATTTGTAAATAAACGACCGTAAGGGCGTCATCCAAAAATTATGCCGAACGTGCCATAAAAAATTCCAAGTTTTAACATTGGTCTAGTTGCAAGGCTGGAAGATTAGAGGACGTGCACTCAAAGCAAACTTGAACCCTCACAGCATATATTTATTTTTAACAATGGCTCAAAGAAAATTATTCTCTAGGCTCGCATACCTTGCAAAAGCGACCCATTTGATTCGTGATTTTGCTTACTGGCCCTTCATCGCCATCTCATGGCTACCAGCGATGATTTTGTTCAAAAGTCATATCGGAGAAATAACACCTATCTCCGGGGAATCAATGTATCCTTCATTCAACGCAAACTTTAATGAAAATCTTAAAAAAGATGTAGTATGGACCAAAAAGTGGAAACCAACTGTCGAATTGAAAAGGGGAATGGTAATTTCTATCAGGTTGGTAAAATGATTAGACTCTAACAGTTTTTACTGATGGCTTTATCTAGAAATCCTTACAACCCGGAAACACTTCAAATTAAACGTGTCATAGCTATCGAAGGCGATACAGTATCTACACGTCCACCCTGCCCGGTACCAACAGTTCAAGTACCTCAGAACCATATTTGGGTTGAGGGGGACAATGTGGACACGACAAAAACCTTGGATAGCAACACATATGGAGCTATTCCTCTAAATTTGGTTCAAGGCCAAATAACACACATTTTATTACCATTCCGAAGATCTGGTCCAGTTCGCTGGTGGGAATACAAGAAAAGCTGTCGTGTTTCAGAGGGAAGCGGGGAGTCTGCCCCAGGCTGGTTCGAAAGTGTCTGATTTAGAAAATTTTAGTTAATCATTTTAATTGTGTGAGATTAAAGTCTTGTTGAGTTGAAACGAAATGGAACCTGTATATCAAGCAAATGAGAATTATGTAGTCGAGGAAAATATGTAATGTATTGTACCTTTATGCGCGCCAAGTGACCAGGGACCCATGGATAAACTGTTACGATAACACGCCGAACCGACTTGTTAGCCACACGTGAGCCTTGTGTCCCATGCGAAGTTGTATTTTTTTAAGGAATTTTGATGAATTGGCTATCGACGAAATCTCTTGTCTCGAAAAGGAAATGTCACTGGCTTCCATAGTTGCCAGTCTTATATCTCCTAGATTGAATAATTCACAGAAGAATTCCAGCAAACTTGGTGTTGTTGACAATGGAACAACGTTTGTCGAAGTCATGCTTGGATCAAACAATAATATGGCACCAGAAGCGCATCAGAAAGAAAGCAGGCCATCCTATGTGCATGTAAGAATCACCTATTTACCGAGTGCCATCACTAAGTGCGGTAGGCTATGATTGCTGGAGGCCTTGGTGGTACGACTGGCGATTTTTTGATGCATTCTTTGGATACAGTCAAAACGCGTCAACAAGGTGATACGCATACTCCGCCAAAGTACACTTCAATGTCATCTTCATACTCTACTATTTTGAGGCAGGAGGGCATCAGAAGAGGCTTATACGGGGGCTGGGTTCCAGCTCTTCTTGGATCATTTCCTGGAACTGTAATCTTCTTTGGAACGTATGAGTATAGCAAAAGAAATATGATTGATGCCGGAATTTCACCACATATTTCCTATCTTATGAGTGGTATAGTAGATGAATTCTACAGCAATTTTGACTTCTAACTTTTAAAGGTTTTCTCGCTGACTTGGCCGCTTCAATTGTGTATGTACCATCAGAAGTTCTCAAAACTCGATTACAGCTTCAAGGACGATATAATAATCCTTTTTTTAATTCTGGATACAACTATAAATCCACACTACACGCCGTAAAGACAATTGTTCATCAAGAAGGGCTAACAGCTCTATTCTACGGCTACAAAGCCACTGTGTATAGAGACTTACCCTTCTCAGCTTTGCAGTTCTTTTTCTATGAACAGGGACAGTCTTGGGCAAAAAACTGGAAGAAAAGAAAGGATATTGGCCTCAAGTTAGAGCTTATTACTGGTGCCGCAGCTGGAGGACTTGCCGGAGTAATCACTTGTCCTTTAGATGTTGTTAAGACTAGAACACAAACTCAGGTAAATTTCAACGCAGAGGCTACATATAAGAGCACATCTTCGCCATTCCAGGATCAATCCACTGGTGTCGACAGCTCTTTGAAAAGACAGATTCGTTCCACGCCATCTCTTACTACCTATGCTACCGGATCCAGCACGGTAGATTTTAATTCCTCTTCCGTAGTAAACGGACTCAAGTTGATCTATAAGTCAGAAGGGCTTCCCGGCTGGTTTAGGGGGGTAGGGCCAAGAGTTGTCTGGACCAGTGTGCAAAGTGGCTGTATGCTTTTCTTATATCAAAAAATTCTTCGAGAATTAGAGTTACACAAATCATATTCAAGTCTGGAGTTATCAATTGGGTGATCAGCGGGCTTACCAGCAAGAAAATGATATTTTATCCTGTAATGCTTGTAAAAATATAGCACTCGGCGGCGTTCAGCGTTTAAATCAGGAGGGCAGATAGGCATAGGCGTTTAAAAAATCTCAATCTCCTCATTCATCCAATCATCAACCATTACCTCTGCGCTAAAATTTATTTTATGGACCAAGTAGCTCCTTCGCACTATCTAGTTGATTTGACTATCTGTGTCTAAAGAATGATTGCATGCCACAAGAGACCAAGGCGCGAAGTCATCAGCATAAAATACGGAACAACGATTTTTTGTCATGGAATCCTCAGATTTTGCGTTCTGTCTCCTTGCGGCACCCTCTACTGATCATGGACAGACAAAACTTTTCCAATTTGAGAGGAATCGAGGGGAATGTGATGTACATCCTAAGCTGACAAAAGCCCCAAATTTTGGTGTAAACGCTTTGGTCGATTCTAGGCACGTACCCTAATTAAAAATTCCGTTTCATCCAAATAGCTATAGATACTGAAGTAGTGTCCCCATACCGAAGCTATAAGTTTTATGTTATTTGGGTGCGGCTTTCGTCAGAATGATTATGGGTTATCTTCTCTCTCAAAATATAACCAGAGCCCCTTTTTAAACCTGTGCGCCGATTTGAATCCTTGTGACATCCAAACAAATTTAATCTACTATTTCACCTGGCTAAAAGGACAAAAATTGTTTACTAGTTGTGATCCAAGCTTCTTAGAAATGTTACCAAAGTCACAATTATCCAACAATTCGCCAAAAAAATAGTGATCAATTGAAAAACCTGGCTACTTACTCTACTTCATTACCTTTTATCAAAAGATCTACATATTTCTATTCAGGCCAGTGTTGTGAGCCATTTCTCGCACCTCTATGAACTACTTTAAATTCTGGGAGTAGATAAATCACATACTCAACATAATTTACATTTTTCTACTCAATCAAACAAAAAGAAAGACAAATTGTTAGATTGTAACTGCTGTGTCTCTTTTTGAGGCATAAGCTGCTACTCTAGTATTTATGATACTTCTTGTGTTGATAACTATCTAGAACATTCGGCGTTTCTCTGTGCTGGAACATATCTCGCATAAAGCTACAGCCCCCTTTATTTGACCGAGATAAAATTGAGATACGCAAAAGTATGAGGTTTAATTAATTTTATTTTATTTTACTTTTATTGTCTACTGGGGAGGTTTGAGTCAGAAGGCTAGCCACTAGATATATTAAAGATTTTGTCATTTGACATGTGATGTACATTACCTACAACAAAAACCACCGATCAGTGTATAATTGTATTACTGACGATATACCAGCTAAATAATATTCCTTTGCGGAGGGCAAAGACTGAACACCTATACGCGGTGTCCTCTATGAGCTTAGAGGTGAAATATTCTCCAAGAGCCAAGTTCAGTCAAATTTGGCAATGCCGAAGAGGCACACTAGGCAATGATCCAAGACTCTACGAAATCAACTTCTCCCACTCAAGGAGTTCGATCTCCGCTAAAACCTCTTCAAGTTTACAGTTACGACCTGACACGTCCTCGGTTCAATGACCACACCTATCATCGACTATTCTCTGGCCTAATCTGGCCACCAAGTACACGGCCACGCCGATATTTACACCCGACAGAGGAGGAAAAGTGTGGCGCACAAATCTGGGGGACAGTACTTTGGGATGAGCATGAGAGGGATCAGGACAAGTTCACAAGCTGATGCAAAGGAAGGATATAACCTCGAAGGGCGTGAATTTTGGCAAGAGTTTCACGAATTGAGCTTTGTGCGCGTCAAGACTTGGCTTGCGAGAGTGTAACTGATACTATAAACGCAAGCCAACGATGAAGGGTGCTGTGGTCCGCCTCCTGGTGGTGTTATCTGGTATGGTTCGAGTAGCCTAGGCACCTACTCCACTTGGAAAGGAGACGCCTAAGATTAAACGTGGCGCAGAGGAAAGATAATGGATGGCAGAGGAATTAGAATGGTTCCGGAAATTGTTAGAATGACATACCAAGTATGAGGATAAGTTAGAGTTATGATGAGCTTGTTTAATGTACGACGAAGTCTACTGATGTTTAATGGATAGTTAAGCCGGCAAAGACGAATTCTTCACCTTCCAGTGGTACCGGTGTAATCGCTCAGTATGCTCTGCATATCTGGGATAGCCAAGAAGAATCGCATCCGAATCGAAGTCGAAAGCAAACACATGCATATCTCCATTTGACGACTTCTCAACCATGCAGCACTCATCATTATCTTCTGAGTCCTCAACCCCGATCTAACCACATATCAACTCGCCTCGCCGACCGATAAAGGCGTCACCCCAATTGCAAACAGGAGCTTGCCTCATTCATTACCGGCCATCACTCTCTACATATTTACGACGCTATTTATACCCGCAAGGAGGAAATCAAGTCGAAAAATACAAAGTTGGGGTCTTGGTTTATGAGGGACTGCTGCTCTAATGGGGTTATACATCTTGAGGAAGAACAAGCGGCTGAGATGTGGAGCGAGAGGAGAAAGAAGCCTCTGAAGACCATGCTGGAACTGACATTTTCGAGGAGTTTTTAACTTTGGATTTTTTGTGGGCGCCAAGACCAAGATTTCGGCTAATTAGCCAGGAGGGCTTCTTTTGTCGATGAGTCAACGGCACTCCCCAGCGCCCTGGACGGTATAAAAGAAGTTAGGCTAAGCCACTATACAGCAATCACGCTCTGTCAAGACTTTTCTGACATTTCAGCACGACCTTCGGGAAGGAGTTGGAAGGAGGCTAGAAAGGCAGAGAGTGAATTTCCCGAGGTACCCACAAGTCTGCAGCGCCCAGCTAGCCGGCCTCTTCGAACGCTTCAGAAGGGGCAATATGTCTTCGGATTTATTCCTAATGTCGGTATTAGAAGAGCCCCGCACCCAGTGGTTTTTTGCGATTTTTCCCGGCTGCCATACACCCGCAAATGGCCATCGTTTCGTTGGCTGGAGAGGGGAGATAATGAAGGGCTAAGGGCTCCTCTTAGTGTATGATCGAATGAGGACTTGTGAGGGGTGGTACTGTTTGAGGGGAGTTGTATGGGAGGCATAGGAGGGGATATACTACTGGTATAGGTATCCCTGGCCTGTAGGCAGAGAGGACCTGCATGTCCTACATAGTCATAGACTCAGACAGGACAATAAAATGAATTTTAAAAAAAAAAAAAATGGATAGTTAATTGTAAAGAAATTGCTGTAATTCTTTAGGTGTGGCGAGAAGTCCCTGTTTACATGAAAGCGGGGTTTTCCGCACACTAGTGTGAACTCCAACAAACTTCCTAATCTAACCTAAACGGGAAGGTTGTTGGAGATCCTGAAGCCAATGTATGCTGTCAGGTATCTATTGGCTAATTACTATTCATGCCAGTTAGTGATGATATGGGTTAATCATATCTCATGGCGCCAGTGCATATTATTCTAATATGTACTATTTGTCTACTGCAGTCATGTTGCTGCCTTAATTACAACAAGAGGCACGTCTGGATAACTCAGGATTTTTGAGACGTTTCCCTGGGTGGGTATTCACGCATGAGGGTTGACTTTGGGTGAAGATATAGCCGCCATAACTTCGCAGTGGTACTAGCAAATAAAATCCGAGGCATGAGTGCTCTTCCTTAACCTCGAATCACACATTCTGTACTTTTCTTTGGTACTGTGTCATAGCTAGATAGCTGCACACGCAATTAAAATCAGATGCAAAAAAAAATATTCCTTTGCGTTGATAACTTTATTTAGCTCATGTTTAGATTCGGATTTTGTTTTTTTGGGATGTGATTTAATAGGTTTAATTGGACGACTTTCCTCGAGGTCCCAATCTACGCTAAAAGTTGGAGCCACTAGAATCCATACTATTGTTAGGCGGTTTCGATTTTGAGACATTACAGAAACATATGTTAAAATTTATCGAGCGCACGACTAGAAATTCTGAGCTAGATATTCTTTTTATTCTCCGGAATTTTGAGTTAACGTTGGGATTCCCCAGCTTGAGATGACTTCCTCCCTGGATGCAAGGCTGTTAGGTCAAGTGGGAATGGAGAAACACTGGTCCAGCTATATTTCTGTTCATTGGCCAGGATTTTGCGTTTTAACAAATATTTACTGGAGACAGTAGGCTAGTATTCATATCTAACAACACAAATATTGTAAACTTCACTTGATCCCACTACCGACGAAGACGAATTCTTCACCTTCCAGTGGTACCAGTATAATCGCCCAGCATACCCTACATATCTGGTAAAGCCAAGGAAAATAGCAACTGAACCCATATCGAAAGTAAGTCCACGCGTGTCTGTAATCGATGAATACCCATCAGTGGCGGTCATGCCATTCTCTGCGAGTCCTCCGACACCAATCTACAACAAACCAGCCCGCCTGAATGACTGATATAAGTGCAGTTTCACTCACAAACGGGAGCTTGCTCTAATAAATAATTGCCATATTCCACTATCAATTTGGGACACTACGCATATCTTTAAGGAGAAAATTAAGTCATAATACAGAAAGCTCGGGTCTCGGTTTGTGGGGAACCTTTGTTCTAATGGGGCTTCATAAATTGAGGAAAAAAAGGTAGCTGGGACGTGGGACATCAAGTGAAGAGGTCACAAATAGACATGCTAGCACATAAATTTTTCGAGTGTTTTCGGCTTTAGAGTGCTTGTGGGCGCCTGGGCTACCATTTCTGACAATGCTACCGCCACTTAAAATTTAGGATATAACACGATAGCTTCAGTGGGCTGAGGCATGAGAAAATGAATTTGGTCAGTGTGGGAACGGTTGGCATAAGTAAAGGCGTTCATGAAGAACTTGAAATTTTGGTAGACAACTTCGGGGATTCAAGTGCGGCGCAGGGCGCCAAACCGGAAAATTTTATTATTTCAAAGTTCTTCTCTAGTTGTTTTTGTTGGAAATGAAGATACAGAGTGTTATGGACGTACGGGCCCTCCATTTTGTCTAGGTTACCGACAAGATCTTGTGTATATTTAAGAGGTTGGAATTGGTAAAATAGTGGCGCTTCAGGCTACCTACTGGATACATAAGTGGCTGTATGGCGTGGGCACAAGGAGGCTATTGGGGGCTTTCTATGCCTAGATAGCGCCACACTTGTTTATGCTGCGGCTTAGGCTCTTTGTTGCTTACACTTTTACTTGTAGCGCACAATTCCTCCGCTTTTAGCTGTAATCTAAACATGACACTATTTTAGATGACTTTTACTTTCGTTCCATAAATGTTGCGCCTATTTCATTGCTCGATATTTCCAACAGTCTTCCATAGGTCATCTTAGTAGTGTATATGCGTGTTGATAAGCATGCTAGATAATTGACTCCCTCCACACTCCCACAGGAGCTTGAGCACGAGCAGGGCCGAGCTGGTTCGGGTTAACTACCATCAATTACATCAATTTTGTCTCACCTAAATGACTGTATTGCCATAGACTTCACCTGTGTGTTGCAAATGTCAAGTCCAACCATCGAGGAACCCGATGGTGCACGCCGAAACGCAATTTTATCCTCAGCCTCAACCACTACGCGCCCAAGTCCTTGATACTTTCCCAAGCTGTGATTTTTCCTTTCAGTTCACTCTTAGCCATGCCTTGTTCTAGCATCTTTTCATATTTTTCGGGAGTCAATTTTTTCATTGGAGACCTCATCCAGTCGCCCACCATAGCGTCCTCGGTTTTTATTCTCTTTGGTTCCTCCAATATAGTTTCTTCCTCATCTTTCTGTTGTTACATCAATCTCAGAAACTTTGTAGGGCTTCCAACCCTTTGGCCTTGCCACGTCGCTGCCGTTCACCTTACTGTGGATGCCGAATGTGGTTTGAAGATTTCAAGACCGAAGAACCATTGCCTTGGCATTTGTCAAATGCTGTAGTTAAAGTGCCAGTGAAATGACGTAAATTTTTCGTCGATGGCGGTTCGTCGGAGCTCGAGTTGTTAGTGACCTCGGCCGAGGTATAGACGAATGTTAGGCTGGTTCTTTGACCGTAGCTTCATTGCGGGCGACAGTTGCTGTGAGTTGAATGTCATCTTGTTTCTTTGAAAGTGATAATGATTTTTGGATTTTAGTGTGCTTCGGCGGGTGTGAGATGATTGAATTCGTTGAGTTGTGCTGAGGTGGAATCTCTGTAGGTCGAGTTTTCGACATATAATTGCCAACGCTACTCTTACTGATCGTTCCTTCGATGAAAGCTCTCAAAAACACCCTTTGTCGTGACTGAATCTCGGCTCCTTGAAGAATATTTCACCCCCAGGTTCGTAGAGGGCAACACCGACTGGCTTTTAGCCTTAGTTCTCCACTGTAAAAAGATTGCATGGTTTAGATTCAATCTCTAAGCTGTGTCGATGAGTCATCATGATGGTTCAATTGTCAAGGGCTGTGCAGCCTTATCATTTCCGCCAATATTCAAGTGATTCAAAGGATTGAATCGCAACATATCTACGACTTACTAAATAATACGGAGTTGTCTAGCGTGTGGACCCAAGAATGGATTCATATCTTCGATGTGTTTAACCTAAACGGCAGCAAGGTGTGGTTGATTTCGACCAGTGCGGTATTCGTCCACATTCGACGATTCTGTACCTTAGTTTGGTCAATATTCTTCTATCATTTAACACTAATGACTGCTGTGCCTTCCAAGAGTGCACTCAGAGCTCTTAGAAACCTCGCACTCGGAACTTCTTTCTCATTGGCATTTGCCCTAGGCATCACACTCGAGGAGCGACGACGGCTCATTCACACTGCTCAAAGGATACAAAAAAATACACAGAAAATTAGATCGATAAAGCGATATACCACCTCTGGTATTAATGTTATCAAGGCTTTTGAAGAAAGGATTTTAAATCATCAAACCGAATTTTCTGATGACTCAAATCAGCCGGAACTTACTGAAATCGAGACGGATCTGCCAGCCAATGGATCACAAAAAGAGGCTGTTAGTCGTGGGCTACACCTTTTTTCTCCCGTACGAAATGAATACTCAAAGCCATATAGAACCACAATGAAGATTTATAGTACAGGGCTTAATCTAAAAAAGCCTTGGAAAACATATCCTGACACTCTTGGGCCAGCCAGCGCAAATGATGAGAAAAATTCCCCATGTCAAGCGCTTGCGGAGACAAAGGTCCTATCGCTTATCAACTTAAACCCTCCTCAGCTAGATACTGCAGAAGTTTATTTTGTTGACATGTTTTCAGAGTACCTGAAAAATAGGACCCTGCACCCCAAGAATATGATGTATAGAATTTTTGATCTAGCGCTCATCTTATTCAGGGCATATAAGAGAGAAAACATGGTTGAGTGCTCTCTTAGAGTGTTTAGTTTTGTTATAAAGCAGAGTATAGAAGCTGAAATTATTCCATCATTTCAGGCGGAAATAATCATACAAAGGTTATTAAAGCAGGAATCCCATGTTAATATGCAGAATGCTGTTTGTGTGTACCTTTCTACAGTGGATAGAGCTTCCGAATGTTCCACACCTCAGTTACTATCATTAGGCCACATATTATGTAGAAAATCTTACGCTAATAAAGAGTATCAATCCTCATGCGAGATATTCAATCGATTAAAATTACATAGTCACGAATTTCCAGTCCAGTCTCTCGATGTATATCTGATGGCTGTCTTAAACCAAAGTGGAAATAATCCAGAAGTTTTTGATTATTTCCTAAGGTTTTGCAATCAAGATATTCATCCTGGAGTACAACGCACGAAACATCTTTTTAGAGAAGTTTTTAACTACCTACTAATCAATCAGAGATTAAACGAGGCAGAAGAGGCTATAAAGAGATTTTCTATTTTGTCGAAAAAATCTCGGCAATTTAGAGCCGTTTCCATTTCTTGCCGGAGCTTATTGGAAAAAGACTGGGAAATTTTTCATGATCTTGACAGGACTACTCGCTTGTTCTATCGCATCGAAGAATATATTGCATGCAATAGTTTTCCTTGGGTATCTTGTGAAGTGATGATCAGAATCTGCCTGGAAGTCGAAGAAATAACGCTCGCTAAGTCATTTTACGAAAGGTCACTCCAGAGGTATGGGAAAAAACTGGAATCTTTATACGCTCAAATCACTTTATTGAAGGCACAGAAAAATGATTGGTTGGGAGTACGAGACGATTTTAAGAAAATAGAGGTGAAAAGTATAGCCGACGCATATAGCAATTTTTTTCCAACAATCTTAAAACTTTTTTCAAGCAGTAATTCTACTGCTTCAACGAAAGATTTCATCCAACTCGCCCTTTGCATGGGTGTAAGGCTGAATACTAACGCCATGAATAAAATCGCTGAAATATTTATCATGGACAAGGAGTATGAAGCTGTTATCCGCCTGTTGAAATACATGACTGAAAGAGGCCATGCTATTAATTCTATTTTTATGGATGTTATGCTAAGACAATTGTATAAGACCTCAAGGTTCACTATTGATCATCTTCTTCAACTCCTAGAGTCGATAGCGAAACTAGATAGACCAGGAAGGTTAATTGATATTGAAACTTTCATGTATTTTCGTCGTATTATACTTTCCTCAGGAAGAGCACCGGAATCCTGGAGGTACAAATCACTCGAAAAATTAAATCAGATATTCAGACCGCACGAATTAGAGCCAAGAGACCCTTTTCATCCAAAGCGCATACTAGGAGAAATGGTTCTGGCATTGAAGATGAATGACCCAAGGGAAACTGTAGCGATTTATAATTGTGCACGATCAAACAATGTGCAGCTTGGCTTCGACCATCTAAATGTTGCAGTGGAGGCGAGCTTTCGATATAGCGAAGGAAACGTTGAGGAGAGTATGAGGATGATACACAGTTCAGGCCTACCTGAGTCACAAACTTCGCCATCTGTTGCCCTACTCTATGTGCACCAACTTCAGCAAATAGCTGAATCAGGCAATAAAAATGCCAGGGAACTAATTGAGATGACGATGCAGTTTGTATCTGCTTTCGAGAAACGTGGCCTAAAAGTTCCTCTCCAAGTTGTAACTCAGACTGTAAGCAGTCTCGAGAAAATCAAAGAATACTCAGCCGTTAGCGATTTCTGGGATTTGGTTTCTAAGCGCATGGATCTCACACAATCAGGCCTTACTCTAGAAACTTTGACAGTCTTTCTGAACACTTGTATCAGATTACGGAGTACGCGATTTTTTTGGCAGATACTTCACTACATGGCACTTAATAGAATCACACCAGATCACCATTTCCATCTTCTACTTGGTAATTCTAGAAGAAGAATTGCGAAGAATGTGGCTCATCAAAGGGTATCCCCGAAAGATGCCCAATTTTTAGATACGCTTGTTGAGGGAAGCCAACATGTTAATAAACTTCGATCACAGAATCGTATAGGGCGCAATTTGTTAAAGGAAAATCTTATTCAGAAAATAAAGAGTGATTTTAGGATTTTACCACAAACTAGTAATGGATCACAGACCAACCAAAATTCCGATCTAAAAGCTAGATGTAAAGCCTATTAATAGACAGAAGTCTGATGATGTCACAGGTAGAACTCCGTATGAACATACCAAGGGCATTAAATCCCCCAATTTGCTAGCGTTAAAATTTTCCACTTTTTCTATTTTCGAGTTTCAGTGACAATTATGACTCCGTTCCGTAGTGCCCCATCATCGCATTAAAAAATAAATTGCTAGCCCTTTATATCATGTATACAGAATCATTTGAAGGAGAACAAACAATTGTTTTATCGATCGTTTATTACAGTTTCATCACTGCCGAGAAATCTGCTCCTCGCAGCACCTCACTGATGTTAAATCAACCTGTAAAGGAATCAGACATCTGAAGTCTTCTCAAACTTTAACAAGGGCGATCAATCCGAACTTTTACATGCAATCAGGTAAATATGTCGATCATTATTGAGTAAGAGCTTCGCCTATTAATTTGAATCACATACTGAGATTAATAAGCCAGGTACGGCACGTAGAAAGCCAACTGAATCGTATATTCGGCGTTCCTTGCATCAAAGTACAAAATCGCTTTGAAATCAGCAAAACAATCCCGAAGAGTCCGCAACTCGGTGAACTTGAAAAAGCAGTCAGAACTCTATCACAACCATCGTCGAATTCTCTTCTATCATCTTCACGAATCCTGAATTTGCTTCAGCAAACAGCGCTTCCGGACATAATCATTTCTGGAGACCAGCAGAATCTTACTGAATTGTACGAAAATGAACTGCAATGGTTAGTAGTTAGCAAGGCGACTATTCAAGTATACGGAATAATCCTCGACATCATACTAGATCAAACAATTCCCTTCAACCGAGAAATTTGGTACTGGGATAAGGTTTTGGGATCTTATACCTACTCTAGTCTATTTGCGCTACAAACCTTACCGAAAAGGCTATGGTCGTGGACCAAAGAAATCTTTCATCATATAAAACATCACTTTTCAAGACCAAATGGGTCATCTGGAATGAGCAGTTCGGATGGAAGATGGGGGAACCTCTTTGGCCAATGGAAGAATTCTCACACACTTTTCTGGGACCCTATCGAAGAGAAATCGTTTGCAAGTTTGCAACGGCGAATTTTATCTCCTATAGAAATATGCAGGGCGAGTGCCAGACGAAATCAAACGCGATTGAAGCGATTACGAGAGTTGGGAGCTAGTGGGCTAGGTATGTTAATGGATGAAGGTCTCAACTTTGAATCTGGAGATGATATTTCCGAGAACATGGAGGTAGAAGGTAGTTATTGCAATGACTGGAAGATTGTCATAGAACGGACTGTAGCTCTGATGAGTGGTGTGCTTACAAATATCTCTTCGTACGAAATGGGGGTTACAGAATTTGAAGAGACCGTTTTTGCCAGGGTTGAAGATCACTCTGCTGAAGTTTCTTGTGTGGAAGATGAAGATGCGGACGGAGTGACACGGCCGCTAAAGATAAGTTTGAGGCTCCAACACATCCTCAAATACCAAATTCCTGAACATATTCTCCGTTCTCAGAAAGTAACCTGCTGCTTTAGTCGACCATCGCGATTAGTTCGATATTGGCTACCAACAAGTGCATTCTTTCTATTTTCTACCTTAACACTAAAACTACTTGTTGATCGTAAGGACCAAATCATTGAATGTGTTCAAACCCTTGGAGAAACAGTACGAGACTTCCTGCTAAATTGGGTTCTTGACCCCGTCAAAAAACTTATCGGGACTATTCGACACGATCCCAACAGTGAGCTTGCCATCATAAGCAAAGAGAGCCTAAAGGGGGATCGGGAAAGTCTAGAACATATGGTGGTTGAATTTGCCCTGGATAATCCCCAGTTTTATGGTAGCGCCACATCATTAAGTGAGGCTCAAGTTTCTGAGATCAGAGGAAAAGTGAGGGAAGGAGATCTTACACCGGTTCTTCGAGCCTATGAGAGGAATATTCGGAGGCCTTTTAAGGGAACTGTCAGAGGGGATTTAATTAGAACGCTGTTAATCCAAGTCCAGAAGACGAAAGTGGACGTTGAAATCGCTCTAAGCGGTATAGATGCTTTGCTTAAGAGTCAAGAGCTTGTATTTGGTTTCTTAGGCCTAACACCAGGAAGCCTGATATGTTTTGCCTCAATTCGGTACCTAGGGAGCTTCTTTGGAAATAGGAGGGGGAATGTGAAGGGCCACATGGCTGAGGAAACTTTACGGGTCCTACGCAAAATTGATCGGATTCTTGCAGAGGCTACTCCGCTCCAAGAAAACATCCTCTCGTACCGAGATCATGGTCTTCTTCTATGCGAGATCCACGTCATGCGCAGGAACATTAGGGGGCTTTTCCCTGCTGAAATTGCGCAAGAATTCTTGGAGGACGTTAGGAACTTGAGTGACATCAACCGTGGGTTCCAGGCCCAGCTAAAAGCTCTTGATCGCATCAAGTGGGGGTATGCAAAGTGGCTACAATGAGATAAGTGTACTAATAGCTATCATCTACAAACAGTTTCATGTAGAGTGGAATATGGGGTGTATTGCACAGTAAGAAGCAAATTTATACAAGCAGCTCGTTATTCCAACGGCAGCCCGTCTGATCTTAACCTTTTGCTTACAAACCTGTACTTGGCCAAATGAGTGCCTGATTGAGCCTTAACGAGGCAATATGGCTCAGAAGGGAAAGAAAGTCTTTACCTGATGATTGGCTGAGACGGCGGTAAGCATTGGTATACTTTGACCTCCACCAATTTAGAAGCAGCCGGACTTTTATCAAATTGTGTTTCTCTGCCCCTCTCCTAGCGTAGCACTTGTTGTGCAGGCAAAGGCTTAATCTTCTTGAACACTTCTGATGGGACTTGATCGGTATCAACATCTCTCCCTCTTGCCCGTCTGCTTGATTTACACACGCCCTCTCTCGCTCCTCCTTCCCCCACAGCAGGCTCCACTCAGCCAGCCAAATCCCCAGCCTTCACCCTCAAGAATCTATCCCTGGCCGACACTATCTGTGTATCAAGATTTATACATTCCACCTCCTTAAACCCACGTCTCGCATCATTACCAGGATGGCCGGGACGCGTAACTATGATTTTCTGGTAGATGATCCAGCTGCCTCTCTCTCTGCATTGGCCGAAGCCAAGCTGACGCTCTTCCGACTATAGATCAAGCTACTGCTTATTGGTGATTCCGGCGTCGGCAAGTCATGCTGTCTCCTACGCTTCAGCGAAGACTCCTTCACACCTTCCTTTATCACCACCATCGGTATCGACTTCAAGATCCGGACCATTGAGCTCGACGGCAAGCGCGTCAAGCTGCAGATATGGGATACGGCAGGCCAGGAACGATTTCGCACCATCACAACCGCCTATTACCGTGGTGCCATGGGCATACTCCTTGTCTACGATGTCACTGATGAACGTTCCTTTGAAAGTAGGCTACTGCCGTGACCTACCGGGGCCTAACTCTTGCTCATGCTAATGCATTCTGCAGATATACGCACCTGGTTCTCCAATGTGGAGCAGCACGCAACTGAAGGTGTCAATAAAATACTCGTCGGTAACAAGTGTGACTGGGAAGATAGGCGAGTTATATCAACAGAAAAGGGTCAACAGCTGGCAGATGAATTGGGAATCCCTTTCCTCGAAGTCTCGGCAAAGAGCAATATCAATGTTGAGAAAGCCTTTTATAGTCTGGCATCAGATATCAAGAAAAGAATCATTGATTCTACAAAGAGTGATCTATCTACGCCCCAAGGAGTGGACGTAGGAGCGCCCAGTGGTGGTCTAAGCGGAAAGTGCTGTTAGAGAAATGAGGTATGAGCGTGTGGATATATAATAGTCCCCTTTGTCAGAGTACAGTTATTTTATGGGTGGAGTCTGGTCAAATTACATGGTTTTACAGAATGAAGGCACGGTGCCGATTTAGTTGTGAGTACATATATACCAGATAAGATGTAGATACTAGGGCTACCACAACATTTCTGCATTAATTATTGGTCTGAAGCTATCTTCTAAGCTACGTTTTTCGCGCAAAGGGAAGGGTCGGCGATGCCATTCCCGTACGAATCTTCGTGCCTCGTACTCGCCAGCAAACGGAATAACATAACGCGAGGGCCTTTGATGAAACTTTTTATGACCTCCTCCTCCATTCACAGAATTATTACTTATACTAACTTCAGTATCAGTATCAACAGTGGGCTCCTCCTGCTGCAAGTTCACAATAGCTGCGTGGCCCCCAGCTAAATTCCAGTGCAGGTTTCGACGTCGACCATCATCATTAATAAATTCGGACAGCTGGTGTGGATTGACCTGGCCGCAATCGAGGTAAAAGAGGACAAGAAATTCAGCATTTGTTTGACGCCGGAGTAAAGAAACGGGACTACCGTTCTCCATGATTTTGCGAAGTGGTCCCTGATGGGGAGGAGCAAGGTATTTTATGGAGAGACGAGCATAACCAGGAACGAGCGAGAAAGCATCCAAGAGCTTATCAAACTCTTTTGTGGAAGGCATTATATCCGTTTTTAAGGGTATTAAGAAAGGTTTGCGCAGACCTCGTATGCGGGATAGTTTATGAAGACGCCATACGCGAGAATGATATGCTCTAGCCGTAAACTGGCATGTAAAAAAGATGAAGTAAGAGCCTTGAAACTGCAACGTATGCTCATGTCGGACAGGGATCACTGAAATGAAAACTTAGTTTGGAAACTCGGTGGAAGTGAAGCCCTAGAAAAAACATACCTCTGACAATACCATTTTTCCACCCTTCAATGTGCTTGCCCTTTAAGCCAAGACGAAAGAAGTCGCTCTCTTCAAGTGTACCGCTACATGCTGTCAAATACAAAACACCATATTTGGCTGGGGCTAGAAGCTCCGAGCGCGTGGGCTTCGTAGTTGATAAATTTAGTGTCAATGATTCTTTCTGATCATCCGAAAGATTATTTTTTTTCGACCTCGTTTTGTCCTTGCTCGTCGATTTCCATTGAAACACAGGTAGTTTTTCTAGTTTTGCTTCGGCGTTGCTTTGATCGCCATGATTTTTGGCCCTTTTCGAGGGGAAGAAGATGTCAAATAAAGTCTCCGTATCCGTTTCAGGTTGTAAGTGTGATGGAGCTCTCGTACTCCAACTAGATTGAGCTTTCGTACTAGTGGATAAGTCCAGCTCTGGTAAGACTTCGACATTTTTATGTGACTCCATATATGGCGAAAAATTATTCACAAGACTCTCGCATCGAATGACTCCGCAGTTAAGTGAAGGGTTTGACCCTAGACTATGTGAAGCCAACTTCTCAGATTTAGTTACCGGTTCGTATGCCTCAGGCGGGTCCGACGAACAATTAGACTCTCGTGAGAGTTTATTCATCAATTCATCTCGGCTTTCACAAGAGGTCGGCTGATGTATCTCTTGGCTTCTAATTGAGTCATGAATTACAGCAGATCCTCTTTCTTTTGAACTTTTCTTTTCCGGCCACGTTGGCAGTGGGCTGTGATAAGATGAATCTGACGACCTAAATTCTTGGTCATCTTCTAGGCTTTTCTTCCGTAGTTGCTCGTCTACTGTGAGGGTTTCCGGTGCATTTCCTCGGCGCCCATTGCACGAATAATTGACATAGCCAACTTTAGTGAGCTGTTTGAGCTGGTAGTTCCAAGAAATAGTGGTTTTCTTAGGATATTTGTCACATGTATATACGCGCTGCATTGCCATAACCAGCTGCCGGGCATTCCATAACGGTGAAGAGACCTGCGGCGGCAGAAGCATTAATTCCTGCTAACTGACATGTGATAAGATGCGTTTCTCGCGAATTGTGTTTGGTGGAGTCTCAGATTCACCTGTAGATTATCGGCAGTTGAAGGGACCGATAATTTCGGTACTGTTGGCTCGGATTATTGCCAAGGTTGCCTCCCTAGGTGGAGCGAACTGGCCGCAATTTTCAGAGGGAGTTACTTGAAATTCAGCGTTACAGATTAATTGAATCTGATTCAATTCTTTTATAAATGTTAGAATAAGAAGGTCATATAGATTTCCTACATATAAGCCTCAGGCACCTAATTCTGGTAGTATTTTTTTATACATCCTTTACTCTTTTTTTTTTTTTTTTTTACATCAGATTTTAATTGCGTATGCAGCTTTCTAGCTATGACACAACATCAAAGAAAGGTACAGAATAGATGATTCAACGTAAAGGAAGAGCACTCATGCCTCGGATTTCATTTGCAAGTACCACTGCGAAGTTATGGTGGCTTTTTCTTCACCCCAAGTCAACCCTCGTCCGTGAATACCCACCCAGGGGAACGTCTCAAAAACCCTGAGTTATCCAGACATGCCTCCGTCATCCATCAACTTTTCTCCGCGCGAAATGTAATCTGAAATGTCTCCTTCCCAAGTGGAGTAGGTGCCCAGGCTACTCAAACTATACCAGAGAACATCACCAGGGGGCGGATCACAACACCTTCCATCGTCGGCTTGTTTTTATAGTGTCAGCTGCACTCTCGCAAGCGAAGTCTTGGCGCGCACAAAGCTGAATTCGTAAAACTCCTTGCCAAAATTAGATATTTCACGCCCTTCCAGGTTACATCCATCCTTTGCATCATCTTGTAAACTTGTCCTGATCCTTCTCACATCCATCCCAAAGAACTGTCTCCCAGATTTGTGCGCCACGCTTTGCTTCCTCCGTCGGGTATAAATATCGGCGTGGGCGTGTATTTGGTGGTCAACTGAGACCAGAGAAGGTCAAAGAGTGGTGTGGTCATTGGAATGAGGATGTACTTGGTCGTACTTGTAGACTCGATGAGACAAAGATAGGAGTCAAACTCGTTGGGAGCGAAATAACGACGTGGAGGAGTAATTTGGATTTTTGCCTCGTGGGCCAACTTCTTTGATATTGCGAAATTTGACTGAACTTGGCTCTGGGAGAATATTTCACTCCCAGGTTCGTAGAGGACACCGCGTACAGGTGTTCAGTCTTGCCCTCCTACATCCTTTACTCGTTCATACATAAAGCGCAAACTACCTTAAGACCTCATTTGATCATATAATTACTGAGGCCTTTTCTTCTGTGTTATCTCCCCACTTTTTCCAATAAAATAATAAATGTTTCCGGGTGTACGCGCTTCCCGTTAGTGAGGAGATAAGAGTGGTAAAGTGGTCGTACAAATGACTTTCGGGCTTTGTTGCGAAGGTGACAATGTGATCAGACAGTGTTGTCCTCCGGGTAGTAAATGTTTATAATCCAACAACAAGAGGCCCAAAGCTTATAAGTTGGGACTCCATCTTAAAGGTTATCCAGGATTATGGAACAATTGTTTACTTGCAGGAGATTTTTACTGTTACCATTCCTTTTGGGGAGAGACTCTAGCACCACGAAATTCAAAGGCGCAGAATCTTCTCAAAGTTGTTACTGATAATGGACTACATCTAGCCACACAGCAGGGAATTCCAACGTTTAGAAGGAAAGGTGCAAATGAAATTCTACGGGAAACAGTCATCGATCTCTCAGTCGCAAGTGATGACCTGGTTAGCAAGACTGAGTACTGCTCGACGTGCGAAGATTGGGCCATCAGGCAAGACCATATTCTGATTGAGATTAGACTTGGAATTATGAATGTTCACCCATTTGACTACAGATGATACGCATTTTTGAACGCGGATCTGGAGAAAATGAGTGATACAATACGAGGAAGTATGTAGACAAATGCATCAGAGCCTCTTGATGCCTTGCAAGATGCCATTGTTAAGTAATTACGTCTACATTTTCCTAAATCCGGTCGCCGGCAAAGACGAGTTCTTCACTTTCCAGTGGTGCCGGTGTAATCGCTCAGTATGCCCTGCATATCCGGGATAGCCAAAACGAATCGAATCCGAATCGAAGTCGAACGCACTCACAAGCACATCCAAAATCGACGACTCATCGTTAATGTCCGACCTATCATTCGGAGGGCAAGACTGAACACCTGTACGCGGTGTCCTCTACGAACCTGGGAGTGAAATATTCTCCCAGAGCCAAGTTCAGTCAAATTTCGCAATATCAAAGAAGTTGGCCCACGAGGCAAAAATCCAAATTACTCCTCCACGTCGTTATTTCGCTCCCAACGAGTTTGACTCCTATCTTTGTCTCATCGAGTCTACAAGTACGACCAAGTACATCCTCATTCCAATGACCACACCACTCTTTGACCTTCTCTGGTCTCAGTTGACCACCAAATACACGCCCACGCCGATATTTATACCCGACGGAGGAAGCAAAGCGTGGCGCACAAATCTGGGAGACAGTTCTTTGGGATGGATGTGAGAAGGATCAGGACAAGTTTACAAGATGATGCAAAGGATGGATGTAACCTGGAAGGGCGTGAAATATCTAATTTTGGCAAGGAGTTTTACGAATTCAGCTTTGTGCGCGCCAAGACTTCGCTTGCGAGAGTGCAGCTGACACTATAAAAACAAGCCGACGATGGAAGGTGTTGTGATCCGCCCCCTGGTGATGTTCTCTGGTATAGTTTGAGTAGCCTGGGCACCTACTCCACTTGGGAAGGAGACATTTCAGATTACATTTCGCGCGGAGAAAAGTTGATGGATGACGGAGGCATGTCTGGATAACTCAGGGTTTTTGAGACGTTCCCCTGGGTGGGTATTCACGGACGAGGGTTGACTTGGGGTGAAGAAAAAGCCACCATAACTTCGCAGTGGTACTTGCAAATGAAATCCGAGGCATGAGTGCTCTTCCTTTACGTTGAATCATCTATTCTGTACCTTTCTTTGATGTTGTGTCATAGCTAGAAAGCTGCATACGCAATTAAAATCTGATGCAAAA